ATTTTAGAGAACAAGGCAAACTATAGACTGGCATGGTCGTAGTCCAGCCAGGGTCGACCTTTCTTCCAAGAGTCTTGGAAAGCGTCAGTTTTTTTTCTCTTCGCTGCGGGCTCCATCGCCCAAATCAACAGTCGGCTGAAAACTTGCAACTGTGTCAAAAGCTGTAGCCAAAGTAACGCTTTTGTCAAAAGCGTTACTTTGAAAGTTTTGACTGCCTGCCCCATGGCCCATATGGCCATCGACGTCTTTGAATGTCCTGACTTCCTGCTCGCCGCTGGCCAAATCGCGCTCGAACCAGTTGACCCCAGTTGACCTGGTTGACCCTTGTAGCCGAGTTTCTGTCGCTTGTAGACTGTAGTGTGTAGATCTACGGTTGTGCAACAGATGGGGTCCGCGAGTCGTAAAATACCGGTATTTTAGGAATCAATTGTCAGTTTGAGACATTTTTCAGCCGGGTCAGACTGGACCCGGTGTTATCTGTTCAGCCAGGTCGTGCAGTTCCCCAGCCGGGCGCGTCACCCGGCTGACCCGGCTCTCCAGCAGGCCCTGAGCGCAGTGCTGGTTGCAACACGGACACACAAACACTGTACAAACACACAAAAGTACAAGCACATGTGCACATACACACGCCTCCCTTCCCCCCCCCCCCCCCCCCCCCAACACACACACACACACTCAACTCCCCACCCCCTGTAAATCTACCATGTGTACTGAGTCTGACAGACAGACACACAATCATGTTTATGCTTCCTTCGCCACCAGTTTCGGATATGGTGTCAACAACGAGTTGTAAAATATTGGTATTTTAGGACTCCCTGCCCGGAAGACGAGCACAGCGCCGTGGATCGAGCAGATCCGGCCGCGCCGGCCTAGCGTGCTTCACTTTCTGGCCGAGGCAAACATCGTCCGCGTGCGCGCATCCCGTGTCCTCTCGATCTGATCTCCCGGGCTTTTACGACCAGTCCCTGCGCCAGACCCTGTTTTGGCCCGATTATAGCATGTTCAACCAACATATCAGCGACATAACGAAAACGCAAGCGACGAGCGAGAACTCAACTTCTCGTTATTTGTTATCGCCACGGACAAAACTTAGGGCAGAGAACAACTATTAGGTTGGATTTCGAGAACGATCTGGGACGAAGAACTCACGGCCGACGTAAACCAAAGGACGACGAAGGTGACGCAATAGACCAATCCCGAAGAGATTGTCTGGGTTCGAAAGGGGGCATGTCAACTGAGAGTACACTGTACAACACATACATGGCACTACCTGATCAGCATGCGGCACAGGACGTGTTTGATAGTTCGCGTGTGAATGCGAGGGTAAGCACACGGTTTTCTCGTTAGTTGCATGCAAGAGAGACGATGCGACAGAAAGCAAAGCCCTTTGTAGTTTTCTCTCTCGCACTGGTAATGGTCTGCTGTTGGAGTTGAAATGCTAAGACATAATCCTTGTTTCGCTCTTCTGTGTAGTGTGAAGAGGTCAACGAACATGTAGAGCTCACTTTGATGAAGTAGGCAAGGCTGTGAGCGCTGTGGCTCAAAGCGATAGGCCCTAAATCTTACGAGATATTTCGAGTGCTATTGTTTGTTGCGAGCGCTTCGTCTTCGATGAGTCCTGCCTCTTTCCTGGCAGCTGCCCTCCTATAGGACCAATCACGAAGTGACTGTACTCATCTGGAGCCGATCAATGTTATATTGCACAAGAGGATATCGTTTTCGCCAAGCCAGTGCCCCGCCAAAGACCATCGCCGTGTCACACCGTCGGAACGAGTTCATGATGAGAAACATCATTCGCGCGAGCGTGATGAAGAACTATTTCGAAAGACAACATAGTCTTTACCCCCGGGACGACAACTATGTGCACGTCCTGCAAGGGGAGAATGTCACCAGCGACATCAACGAAGACGACGGCAGTATTTCGGAAACCTGGAGTCAGCGGAGGTCGTCAAGCTCCTCCGCGACCCGGTACATGTACAGTATAGGTGACATGTCGACACGAGCGTGCGGAAACACAGCATACACTGTAGTAATGTTGCGAGAGTTTGCGGAAGGAGTCCAAGTCGGGAAATCCATCAGCTCCAAAAGCTACCTGTAGGTGGGCGATGAGACTCCAGCTTCAGACTACAACAGTCAGGACTTGTAAATAGTTGAACTTACTTTGTGAAGCAGCAGATCGAGAAGTTAGCTGAAATCTTAGCTGTTGCAGTATGTCGGCGCTATGTAGCTTGCATTTTTTACGGAGAGTCGATCGCCACGCGAATGTTTCTCTCCTCACCGAGAGCTATCTGGCCTCCAAACTCCGTCAGGGTCTGCCTAAGGTACCGAAGGTCCTTTGACTAGCTGCTGGCAGGACTCCATCAAATCCTTTAGCTTCAGCTCGGCGAGCAAAAGTCTCTCTCTCCTCCGCCATGAGCTGACACACACACAAACTGAATACAAAGCGATGCACTTCACACGTGCTGATTTGCACGCGTGCCCCCTTTCACGAACCCAGACAATCTTTTCGGGATTGGTCTATTGAGTATTCGTCTCGCGCTATCTTGAGAAAACTGCAAAGTCTGGCAAATTTGAAAACTAAAAGTGCAACTTTTAGACGACTTTTTCTGAACTGGCGCACGGACTAGACTGCGACTCCCTGGTGCAGTGGTGGTGTCCAAACAAAGAAATAATTGGGAGTGTGGAGCAAAACTTGGTTTGTGGACAAAACTTGGTTGTTCAACACATGTGCATTAGGGTAAATGAGTGTCCGTGAGTAAAGAAGGCGAATACCTGCCACCCCATGACTGATGTCTTGTCAAGCACAATTATTTGGAGAAGATCTTGTCGAAATCAATATTCGCCAAGCTGAAATGCCTCCAAGTGCCTAGACTACCGAGCATGAGCTAGTGCATTATGACATTGTTGTCTCCGAACTTAGGTGCAATCTGGGGCTCCTATTCCGTCTCCATCGGTAGACCTGGGGTTCGATTTTGACCTTCATCGAGTCAGGTCTGATATTCTGGTGCTGTGCGCAGCGCGCGCGAGGCTTCAGCGGCCCGGGAAATATCAACACAGTCAGTGCTCGCAGTGCGAACAGAAGCTGTAAAGTGCTGCTGCAAGTAGTTGAAAGTAAGTATTTATCTTGTGATTGGAAAAGGAGAGTGACCGAGACAACACCGCTGCTGAACAAGAAAAGAAATCGAGAGAAGGCAGGGCCAGGCGCCAGCTCCTTGCTTCCTAGCGGAGCTGAGTAATGCGAACACATCGTCGAATTTCGGCAACGCAGTGCACTTTCGCTACTGTCATTTTTCTCATTTCGTCGAGTGAGCGACAACTCGGAAAGCCTGGAGGAAACCTGAACGAAGTCATTTACTGAGCAAATCAGCGACCAGCGCGAACAAGCAGACACCAGGAAGGTAAGCAAGCGGTCTATGAAGTGCGTTGCCTTTGCTTTAGTGCACAAAGTTTGAAACCCAGTGTATTTAACGGTTTGGCGGGCTGCGGGTATGTGATCGCCAATTCTACTTCATCAAGCGAACAGGCAGTGGTGCGTTCTCCCCATCCCAGGCAGCAGGGCTGGCCCGCTACAACTAAAAGGATGGTGGCTATCACTCAGTATCAGGACCATTGAGTAGGAAGTGTGTTGTCCGACGTTTGCTGCGCTGGACTGGAGGATTGTTGTTGCATGTATAACACTCTTCACTACAGCTGCGCTCACTGAAATCCGACCCGAAGTGCAAAGCTGGCGCCCTGGACCAGTTCCGATTACATCATTGTGGGTGTACATGTGTACGTCCAGCCGCATTCATTCCACTGCCAGGGCGTCAAGAGCCGTGCAAGTTGAGGGCGCCAGCTTTGCACGTTGGGTGGGATTTCAGTGGGCGCAGCTGTAGTTTTTATCTGCAGGTGTGTACGTACGCAGATGGGTATTGCCGTAAAGTACAGTCGATCCGCCCCCTGTCGATTTTCTGCCTGTGAGGCGACTTCGGCGTATACAACGAAATACGATGTTGAATCAATGCATGTACGGCTGTACACAATACGTGCCAGTGCAGGATGAAAATATGCACAATCCAGCACATCGAGTCTGATCCTTCACGTCGTTGTACATTGTACTGCACTTGAGAGCCTTGATTTAATTTCCGCCCCCTGCCGAAAACCCAGCTGAGAAGCGACTTGGGGGGGGGGGGGGGGGATCAACGGTACTTTACGGTATTGGGTATCAAAGAGCGCTATACGCCGCGGACTGCGTATAGTGCTCTTTGTCCCGTGGACAGAGCAAGCAAGCAACACTCCCACCGTAGCGACCCTGTGACTGTCTGATCTGTGCCATTACAAAGTAAAGACCTGGTTATTTAGTTGGCAAGGGCAAAGAAGGACTTGGTTGTGTCACCGCTGCGCGAGTATGGTAGTCTGTAGGTACATGATTGCACACGTGCATCTAGTGATTGCATGCTGCAACGTCTATGCTTGAATGGACTGGACGATGCCATGTATGGGCTGCTTCGACCGGATGATGTCATACGTAGGCTAGCTTTGACTGGATGACATCATACACAGGCTAACGCTGCCTGCATGACGTCGAACATAGGCTAGCTCTGACTGGATGATGGCATATAATTATAGGCTAGCTCTGACTGGATGACATCATTGTAGGCTAGCTCTGACTGGATGACATCATATGTAGACTAGGTCCAGATGTATGCGCACTTACACGCATGTCCACACAGCTTTAGAGGTTCCGTTCTAGATTTTCCTTGTGACCAGACGACGCTTGCAGACACCAGCACAAACACTGCACCCGTTACACTCCACAAGAGGTACAGTGCTGCCAACTGAAGTCCGACCCCCCCCCCCCCCCCCCTGGCCGGCACACCGCGCCGCCCGGCGGGTCGGACTTCAGTTGCCAGCACTGTAGAAGATGTTCTTGACAAGTCTTGTTTCGTTCCATTATGATGACGGGAACTCATCAGAGGAGAGGCTGATATTGAATGAAATGGGTTTAACTAAATGTCATGATGTATGTAATCAAGCACGCTCAGGAGGTCATCATGGCTGAATCTTGCCCGAGCCTGCAGCCCAAGGGCCGTAGGCACGAGGGCTGCAGGAAAGGGCAAGATTCAGCCATCATGACAGACAGAGCGTGCTTGATTTGATTTCTTACAGCGCAAAGCAACATATTAGGGAAGGTCAAAGGTCGAAAAATTATTCCCGAGATGACGTCAAACGGTCCTAACATTCCCGAAATGACGTCAAACGGTCCTGATGGCCTGATTATGCTCGCGGCGGGAAGATCGCGTATTGGCCATGGCCCCGGCAACGATCACGTGTCGTGTAAGAAATTGTTTTATAGAAGATATAGGCGCAATGTGTGCACACTCAGCTAACTTTCACCTGTGACATGTCAAAACGAATGAAATCGGGTAGAGCGGAGGTGTTATGAACCCTACGGACACAACTATCACAGGTGTTAAATCAATCACAAGGAGAAAGAGAGGTACACAAGCGTTTTGGAGGCAGCAGGTTTTAATCTAGCTACAAGGACGGCTAATTGCACTGTAAGCATTTCCCAAATGTCAACATGCATGAGTAAAAATTAATGTAAGTCGATGATCGCAAGGCACACAACGAAAAGGAAAGAGATGATTTGTTCAGAACTGTTTTCTTGTTACATTCATCAGTGAATCTACGTGGCAATGGAACGGGGACTACTTGAAACAAATCTTATTAGAGTGCAATTAGTCGTCCTTGTTGGTACTTGTATATAGAAAGAGAGGTACACTGAATAAGTTGTGCTAAAAACTACACCTTGCGCCAGTATCTTCAAGGCTATAAAACAGTATCATTTACTGTAAGACATGTATATATAACGAGGAAGTAAATCTAACGTTTTAACGGATGACATTTTTTCGTTATGATAGGATTCAATGAGGCTGTAATGCTTCATATATGTTGTGTGTGGATATGCCGGAATACTGCAAGATCGTTAACATTATCTTCTCGTTAACCTATGAATTTTGGACAATCGTTAAATTTGCGACTCGTTATAATAATATGTCTTACAGTAGTTAAAGCCATTTCATTCCATATCTGCCTCTCCTCTGATGAGTTCCCAACATCATAATGGAACGAAACAAGACATGTAAGGAGCAACTTCTAGCTGTTGTGGAGTGTGGCTGGTGCAGTGCTCGTGCTGGTGTCTGCAAGCGTCGTCTGTTCACAAGAAAAAAGCTATCACTACTATTTGACGGACCTACAAAATATGGTATCGACAAATTTAAGGGTTCCATTGGAAGAAAATGTGAGTGTGTACAGTTTATTCATAGAAAAGATGATATCCTAGCTTTTGGCCACAAATGGGTCAAATTTTAAGTTTTTTTCACAATTTGTTTGGCAATCCCCCATAGAGTGCTCTTCCAATTATGTTCTGAAGTATATTTGTCCAACAAGAGAGTCCTAAAAACTTAAAAAGAATAGGATTCCGGTCAGGTTTTGCCCCAAAAGCACTGAATTTGGAAAACCATGATAATCCAGGCCGTTTCACTCCATTTGCAACTACAGTCGTCCCTCTCTAATCCGGCACTTGTTTATCCGGAACCCTTGCCAACCGGCGCACTTTCTGACGAAACCGATTTTTTCGTTCAATTCCTACATCTTAATCCGGCACTTGAATTCCGCCTCCGGCAGTGACTTTTTGAAACGAATCGCTCAAACTGCACGTAGTTTGATTTCATAATCCGGCGGTCGTAAATCGCGTACCGTACAGGTGCACTCCTTGCCAGGCCAGGCTAGGACAGTCTGGTCAGTGCCGCACGCGCGGGGCCACTTCAGAGTTCAGTTCAGTTGACTCGAGTTGCGGTGCCACAATCACTGCTGCAGACCTGACTGCTATATTTTCACAATTCGCTGACAGCAAGGAGTAGTGTGCTGCCAATTTTCAGGTGTGTGTGTGCGTGTGTGTGCAAGAGTACATGTGAACATGTTCTCTGTTTTACTTTATCACTTTATCACTGTGTATATTCCTGGAGAACAGTTGAGAATATAAAGCCGTGCACCAAATACTTGGGTTGACACGGAAAAACCCTGAGTTTTGACGTATGATACATGCATACAATTGGGTAGGGCCGGGTCAGAGGGCAGGATTTCTTAATCCAGCACCCTCGTTAATCCAGCAGAAAACGCCGTAGCAAAAGGTGCCGGATTAGAGAGGGACGACTGTGTACAGTCACTGGGCGGCGCTAACCCCAATCGAGGTACCTTTTTTGGACCCTGTGGGGGCGTTCGTTTTTGATCTACAGGTTTGGGTAGAAAATACTTCTTTCGGTAGAGGTGTTCGTTTTTTGAAACAAAATTCTCCTCGAAAGCGTAGATTCTACTTTCCTCAACCGGCTCTACCAAGAAAAAGTTGGTAGAAGCCGGTAGACGTTGGTGGAGCTACGGAATTTCCAGCAAGATCAAGGATTTGTACACAACTCCATAGAGAAGAGAAACATTTCACGTACATATCGTGTAAACTACTAAATCCGGTAGAAAAGCGTTCGTGCACTTAACTCTACCGTCTACCTCTATCGGTAGAGTGACTCTACTCTACTCTACTCTACCAGGTAGCTAAAAGCGAACGCAGCCCAAACACGTTACATCCTTTAAAACTGTACTAAGTATAATGACTAACGTGTTTTCCGGAGTATAAACTGCACTGGAGAATAAGCTGACCCCCCCCCCCCATTTTTTTGCCACGAATTACAGACGCCTATCCTATTTTATCACCGTTAATTTGATCACCGGAGTATAAGCCGCACCCCCATTTTTGGATGAATTTTGATTATTCAAAGTGGAGCTTACACTCCGGAAAATACAGCACAGTGGAGATCGGATATAACGACCTTGCGTATAACGACAGGTTGACTTTAGCGACACAATTCTGTTGCCCAAGTCGTTTAGTAAGTCCTTTGTGAAGATCGGGCTTACAAAAAAAACAGATCGAATATAGTGACATTTTGTGCTCTCCCGAAGGAGTGTCGTTACATCCAATCTCCACTGTACATTGTTTGACTCTATGCCTTCTCTTTCAGCTCTAAGTCTCCACTTCCTACAGTCCATTCAGAAAAAGATGGACTTCTAGCTTTTGGCCATAAATGGGCCAAACTTTGGGTTTTTTAAGAATTTTTTCCACAATCCCCTATGGAATGCTCTTCCAATTATGTTTCTGAAGTTTTTTTTTACCAAAAAGCAAGCCATGACAAGAATAGGATTTCGGCCAGGTTTTGCGCCAAAAGCACTGAATTGAGGAAAAGCCATAAAAATCCAGGCCGTTTGACCCCACCTGCAACAGTGCATTGTGCAGTTCGAACCCCAGTTCAGGTACCCTTTTTGGACCCTTTTTCAAATTTCCAATTTCGCAGCACTGCACTGTACGAAAAATCGCCAAATACGGGAGCTGGCCAGAGCCAGGGCCAAGGTCCATCTTTTTATGAATGGACTGTAGTATTTGGTATGATTTGAGACTGAACGAAAGGCATCAAAATCTCAAAACCTAACAAGAGCATGATGCAGTAATTTAAATAAAAAGAGTGTAAAAAGGCAGTCCAGTGGTGGCGGTTGAGCTGATGCAGTGATGGAGAAGTAGTGTTAGACTTACAACACACATTCATTGGAAACTGGCACCCTAACTATTTGGTGTTTGGTGTCTCTCTCACATAGTTGTAGATATCGTGAAAACAACAGTACATCCTGCATTGTGTGACCCGTGCAATTACTCCTTGCCACATTTGAGGCCAGAAAAGTCCAAGAACAGGGAAATAGAAATTCAGCCAGGTTTTACAAAATTAGGACAGGTATGCCATGGCAAAATGTATTGAGAAGCAGATCCAAACGCAGATTTTTGAGATTTAAAGTGGGTTTTTGATCGTCAATTCGGCCCAAATCCGACTTTCAAAAGCCAGCGGGCCAGTTTCCGATGAATGGACTGTAGTAGCAAGTATTACCTTCACTGGGGGCAGGGGTAACTGCAGTTGGATCCCGGGACGCCTACCCTGATGCCGTCGATCCTTTTTCTGCACCTTGTCCTCACCCACTTACTGAGGTGTGGTGAGCCCATAAGTGGGATCATTTTCAAGTCCACCCAGAGTTTTTGGGATTTCAGGGGGTGTCGGCCGTTGGGCGGTTCAATAACCAATTGAGTCATCTTTCCAAGATTCCTTTTGAGTCTCTCTCCCCTCTCCCGGGGAGACCCACGTGACCAGTTTTGGCAGTGAGCAACAAGTACAAGTAAGTAAGTGTGTGTGTGTGTGTGTGTGTGCGTGCGCGTGTGTGCGTGTGTGTGTGTGTGTGTGTGTGTGTGTTTGTGCGTGTGCATGTGCATGCGTGTTGCCTTGCAGAAACCAAGTTTACAAAGATCATCGAGCGCAGACACACGCGCAATACCATGTGGTGCTCGACGAAGCGCATGCAGCGCCTTCTTAGCTGTGTGTTGATAATCGTCCTGCTCGCGGAGACTGCATCTAGCATGGTATGTCACCATCGACAACGGAGACGAACGCGGCACCCGCATCCGGTGGCCGCATCGAGCAGCTCTAGAAACAATCATGGAGCAGGCCCGACTGCAGCTAGGCATGTCAGCGGACCACTTGTTACTCAAAGCCAGCACCGAAGCGTGCAACGGTCGCGGCACCTTACCTTTGGAGACCCGCTTCACACAGCGCATGTGGCTGCAGGTGAACACCGCGTCCCTGTACAGCCGAGGCCCGATCGAAGACACCATGGCCACACGCATCCCCACAATGCTCTGAACGGACAAGTGGAGTGGAGGCAAGCCTCATCACCTGCTGACCCTAGTCTCATTACACCATCCAGTTCTCGCGTTACCAACAATGCAGGGCATTCGAATCAAACCTCTTCACCCGCTGGAGGCAGCCCTGCGGTGCTGTCGAATAGAGACGAATCAAACCCATCCCCCGCGCCTGTTGAAGGTAATCGCGCGACACCTTCCAGTGCGGATGGTCTCGACAATGCAGGGCATTCGAATCAAACCTCTTCACCCGCTGGAGGCAGCCCTGGGGTGCTGTCGAACAGAGACGAATCGCACCAAGCCCCCGCACCTGCTGGAGGCAGCCAAGCAGCACATTCCAGCACTGATCTTCTCAGGAGTACAGAGGATTCAAAGCAAGCCGCTTCACCTACCGAAGGCAGTCCTGCAATGATGGCCAATAGAGATGAATCAAACCCAAGCCCCACACCTGCTGGAGGCAGCCAAGCAGCACATACCAGTGCTGGTACTCTCGCTAGTAGAGAGGGTTCGATGCAAGCCGCTTCACCTACCGAAGGCGGTGCTGCAATGATGGCCAGTAGAGATGAGTCGAACCCAACTCCTCCGTTCCCTGAAGACAATCAGGTGGCGATGGCAGGGAGTGATTTCCCCAGTGTGGTGGATGCGAAGCAAACCTCTACAGCTGCTGATGGTGATGAAGTGTCAACGCCTAGTCATGATTCGCCTCACGCGGAGGATTCGAAGCAAACGTCCGCAGCTGCTGATGGTGATGAGTTGACGACGCCCAGTCCTGAATCACTGCACGCACAGGATTCGAAGCAATCTTCTACAACTCCAGACGGCAGTGACGTGATGACACACAGGGTTTTCCAGCCCAACGCTGAGGATTCACAGCAAACTCAGCCTGCACCTTCTGAAAGCAACCAGGTGACGACAACCGCGAGTGTCCCACGCAGTGGAGTATATTCCAAGGAATCCTCCGGATCGGGTGAAGGTAGCGGGGAGGAGAAAACAAAGGGTGTTCAGAAAAATCCAGAGGAGCCGAAGCAAACCTCTGCACCTTCTGAAGGCAACCAGGTGACGACAACCGCGAGTGTCCCGCGCAGTGGAGCATATTCCGAAGAATCCTCCGGATCGGGTGAAGGTAGCGGGGAGGAGAAAACAAAGGGTGTTAAGAAAAATCCAGATGAGCCGATGCAAACCTCTGCACCTTCTGAAGGCAACCAGGGGACGACAACCGCGAGTGTCCCGCGCAGTGGAGCATATTCCAAGGAATCCTCCGGATCGGGTGAAGGTAGCGGGGAGGAGAAAACAAAGGGTGTTCAGAAAAATCCAGAGGAGCCGAAGCAAACCTCTGCACCTTCTGAGAGCAACCAGGTGACGACAACCGCGAGTGTCCCGCGCAGTGGAGCATATTCCAAGGAATCCTCCGGATCGGGTGAAGGTAGCGGGGAGGAGAAAACAAAGGGTGTTCAGAAAAATCCAGAGGAGCCGAAGCAAACCTCTGCACCTTCTGAAGGCAACCAGGTGACGACAACCGCGAGTGTCCCGCGCAGTGGAGCATATTCCGAAGAATCCTCCGGATCGGGTGAAGGTAGCGGGGAGGAGAAAACAAAGGGTGTTCAGAAAAATCCAAAGGAGCCGAAGCAAGCCTCTGCACCTTCTGAAGGCAACCAGGTGACGACAAACGCGAGTGTCCCGCGCAGTGGAGCATATTCCGAAGAATCCTCCGGATCGGGTGAAGGTAGCGGGGAGGAGAAAACAAAGGGTGTTCAGAAAAATCCAGAGGAGCCGAAGCAAACCTCTGCACCTTCTGAAGGCAACCAGGTGACGACAACCGCGAGTGTCCCGCGCAGTGGAGCATATTCCGAAGAATCCTCCGGATCGGGTGAAGGTAGCGGGGAGGAGAAAACAAAGGGTGTTCAGAAAAATCCAGAGGAGCCGAAGCAAGCCTCTGCACCTTCTGAAGGCAACCAGGTGACGGCAACCGCGAGTGTCCCGCGCAGTGGAGCATATTCCGAAGAATCCTCCGGATCGGGTGAAGGTAGCGGGGAGGAGAAAACAAAGGGTGTTCAGAAAAATCCAGAGGAGCCGAAGCAAACCTCTGCGCCTTCTGAAGGCAACCAGGTGACGACAACCGCGAGTGTCCCGCGCAGTGGAGCATATTCCGAAGAATCCTCCGGATCGGGTGAAGGTAGCAGGGAGGAGAAAACAAAGGGTGTTCAGAAAAATCCAGAGGAGCCGAAGCAAACCTCTGCACCTTCTGATGGCAACCAGGTGACGACAACCGCGAGTGTCCCGCGCAGTGGAGCATATTCCGAAGAATCCTCCGGATCGGGTGAAGGTAGCAGGGAGGAGAAAACAAAGGGTGTTCAGAAAAATCCAGAGGAGCCGAAGCAAACCTCTGCACCTTTTGAAGGCAACCAGGTGACGACAACCGCGAGTGTCCCGCGCAGTGGAGCATATTCCAAGGAATCCTCCGGATCGGGTGAAGGTAGCGGGGAGGAGAAAACAAAGGGTGTTCAGAAAAATCCAGAGCAGCCGAAGCAAGCCTCTGCACATTCTGAAGGCAACCAGGTGACGACAACTGGGACTGTTCAGCGCAGTGTAGAAGATTCGAAGCATTCCTCCAGATCTGGTGGAGGTAGCAACCTGGAGACGACCGGGATTGCTCAGCCCAACGCAGAGGACTCGAAACAAACAGCTGCTGACGCTGATCGGCTGGCGATAACCGTGAATGCTCTGTACAATGCCGAGGATTCGACGCATGCCTCTGCAACTGCTGAAGCGAGTCAGGGAACAACACCACATGCTTTTCTACCCCACACTGAGGACTTGAAGCCAACCTCTGAACTTAGCGAAGGCAGCGAGGCAGGGCAACGTGGAGTTCTGCCCCACACAGAGGAGTCGAAAGAAACTTCTGCATATGTTGAAGGTGATGCAGTGACAACACGCAGCCCTGCTGTTCTTCCCAAGTCAGAGGAATCGCCGCAACCGTCTGCACCAACTGACGCCAGCGAACAAACTACACCCAGTGCACCTGTTCTCCCCAATGCAGAGGAATCGGCAAACCCGTCTGCACCTGTGGATGGCAGCAGTGAGGTGACTACAACCAGGGCTGCTGTTCTGGCCGGTGAAGAGCAGTTGCAGGGAACCTCCACACCTATCGAAGGCAGTCCAGTAACTGCGATTGGCAAGGAAGCTGAAGGCACCGAGCAAGCGTCCCCGGCATCCCGGGAGCCAGCTGCTAATCCCATCGGCGCAAGCGGTACTGTCGCCAATCCAGCTCCGGCTGCACCAACAGATGTCCCAGCCTCTCCAGCTCCGGCTGCACCAACAGATGTCCCAGCCTCTCCAGCTCCGGCTGCACCAACAGATGTCCCAGCCTCTCCAGCTCCGGCTGCACCAACAGATGTCCCAGCCTCTCCAGCTCCGGCTGCACCAACATATGCCCCGGCCGCTCCACCAGTTTCCGCCAGGCCCGGCAACGCAGAGGACGAAGACGACCTACCACCGTTAGAAATTGAGCATGCTAAGAGAACACCGACACGAGAAGGCGGCAAAACCAAGAAGGGTAAGTCAGCCAGCTTGTCTTGTTTGTAGACATTTCAAAACTCATAAGGGTAACACCCTCACATAAATAGTCTTGTCATCATGACAAGACTTAAGTTGCAGTCAATCTACTGTTGTGGACATTGAAAACTGGCGTAATGACCGGGGACCGGCGCTCTTACTGCCTTAGCGCGTACTCGCACCGTAGCGGCTCACGCAAACACTGCAAAAATGGACCAGCAGTGCTCGCGCGCGCATGTGTGTGCGTGCGTGTGTGTGTGCGTATGCGTGTGTGCGTGTGTCTGTGTGTGCGTGTGTGTGTGTGTGTGTGTGTGTGCGTGGGTGTGGGTGTGTGAGTGTGTGTGGGTGTGTGTGTGTGTGTGCGTGGGTGTGTGTGTGTGTGTGTGTGTGTGTGTGTGTGTGCGCACATGCCCGTGTGCTTTTGCATGCATGTATTGCTTGGAAAGGAGGCGTACATGAAACACAGTAGATGCCATCCAAGACCTATCCAGGCCGTTTCACTCCATTTGCAACTACAGTCGTCCCTCTCTAATCCGGCACTTGTTTATCCGGAACCCTTGCCAACCGGCGCACTTTCTGACGAAACCGATTTTTTCGTTCAATTCCTACATCTTAATCCGGCACTTGAATTCCGCCTCCGGCAGTGACTTTTTGAAAGGAATCGCTCAAACTGCACGTAGTTTGATTTCATAATCCGGCAGTTGTAAATCGACTGTGCGTGTGCGTGCAAGAGTACGTATACATGTGAACATGTTCTGTTTTACTTTATCACTGTGTATATTCCTGGAGAAAAGTTGAGAATATAAAGCCGTGCACCAAATATTGGGGTCGACACGGAAAAACCCTGCGTTTTGACGTATGATACATACATGCAATTGGGTAGGGCCGGGTCAGAGGGCAGGATTTCTTAATCCAGCACCCTCGTTAATCCAGCAGAAAATGCCGTTGCAAAAGGTGCCGGATTAGAGAGGGACGACTGTATTATAATGGAGTAACGCTGGGTTTTGGAGCCATCTACAGGGACATGTACATGTATGATGATTACTGTACAATCATGTACAACTGCATGTAGCTGTGCTGATCACTCCAACTGCATGTATTCATAAGCAAAATAAAAAATGAAATAAAAAAATAAAAGCCCCCCCGCTCCCTGGGCTGCATCTTCTTGCATGCGTGCCTTTATCCATCGCCATGGGTTCTGGTACTTCTGCATGACAGGTACAGTCGAATGTCACTTATCCGACCACTTCGGGAATCAGGCATGTTGGATAACTGATATCATTTTTTATGTGCATATATGGCTGGATTTCACTGATTTATGTACACAATACCCAAATATATTCATGCATATTCATGATTTGCTCCATGTACACATACATGTTAGTATACTTGACCACATCTACTTCAAGTAAATGCATATTACACCGTATAATATACTAAAAGAAAATAAAAAACATTTTTTTTAGAATTTTTCTGTTGAGAGTCATAAAATTACCACTCCCGGGCTTGTCGGATAACCGACGTGCTCGGATAACTGGCGGCCGGATAAGTGACATTCGATTGTACTTGAAATAGCTGTCAAAAGCCCAGAAAGTCGTTATTCAAGCAGTGAATATGACCTCGGGGCACTAAAAGCATGTCGTTATTCGCGAATTGTCGTTATTCAGATAGTCGTTGTATCCCAAGTTAAAATAATGTATACAGTTAGATGGGACTTTGCTCTGGGCATGGAAATTCTGTCGTTATTCGCGAATTGTCGTTATATCCGCAGTCGTTATTAGCGAAATTGACTGTAGATGTATACAGTTTTTTTTGTCTTTCTCTGTCTTTGTGTCTCTGTGTCTCTGTGTCTCTTTCCCTGTATTTCTGTCTGTTCATCTGTCTGTCCGTCTGTGTGTCTATCTGCCCGTCGTTTCGTCTATCTGCCTGTCTGTCTGTCTCCCCCTGTTATGTCTTCCACTTGTTGTGTTGTTCTTTCACGCACAGGTGGTGACCTATCGAATAAGAGGCATGGCGCCGCCTCGTCAACAACAATTGGTGTGGTCGCTGGCCTGCTGATTCTGGCCTGCGCCGCCTGCATTGCCTTTTACATGTACAACCGCCGGAGCGACTGGTTGCCTCTCCTCCTAGGACGCCGTGCATCCAAGGAAGACGACGCATGGTCCAATCCTCTCAGGTAGAACACTACAGAGTGATAACTATGCCAGATTTTTTTAAACAAAGTATTTATTTATTTACGGTGAAAAAGGAGGACAAAATGTTACGAATTATGACTAACTGTCCACCAACGTAACCAGATCCAGATCCTATTTATTTATTGAAGGGGTGCCCCAAAGGTTGGAGACTATCGAGGAGGTTTTTACAGTGAGAAATACAGATGTTAATTCGATAGCAGGTTTGTCCCGAGTGGAGAGGAAGTACAGTAAAGAAAGGTTCCAGGCTGTCCAAAGTTTCGCTCAATGCCTGAGGGCAGAGCTACTTACAATAAGAAGAAGAGGACGAATAATTCATTTATTCGCCTCTTGCGTGAAACTCTGAGTCAAATTTGTCGTCCTCTTCTACCTTTGAGTCTTGTTCTCATCACTGTAAAACAGCCTAATGTTCGCGGTGAATTAATTTTCGCTATTATCGCCAGGGGAGCATGACGTGAATATTAACCATTGTGAAATCAGACTTCAACAGTGGGTGTGTGCGTGCGGCCACAGTACTCTGCAAAAAGTATCCATCGTGAACTCGCTGATTCTGAGAAATGGCGGAGGTGACGCGAATATTGGGCGGTTTACAGTAGTTGTTAGTGGAACCCAAAGCTCCTGTTTGTTTGTTTGTTTGTTTGTTTGTTTGTTCATTTAATTTTACGCTTTACAGTTGAACATTGATTATCCGCACATCGACTATCCGACCGTTCGATTATCCGTAACAGTTTTTTTGGGCGCACGTGCCGTAGAGTACGCACTGTGCATGTAGTGAGCCATTCAAAAAAATACGAAAATTTTGAAAAGTAAAAAGATCGTACATGTACATGTACATGTTTCTTATCCGGAACATTTGCCTTATCTGAACACCGCCTGACAGTTGTCTGCCCAGAGGTGGTCGGATAATCGATGTTCAACTGTATATGCGAACTGGGTGCAACAGCTTAAAGGCAAATATGGAAGGAAGGAATGAGAGGACAGCAGTGGAAAGGGAGAAGAAACCACAGATCATAGACTCTTGTCGGTGCAATCAGTATGCATGTTTGCGAGTGGTAGTGTGTGCCTGTACCATACGCTCTAGTGTGTGCCTGTACCATACACTCTTGAAGTCACCGGTTACAGGTGCAATGCTGATAATTTCAACCCAGGATTGTCCATGTTGGGGAGCACTTCTAATTACAGTCAACTTTGCGAATAACGACATTCGGCGGGGCATCAGAAAAGTGTCCTTATATCCGAAGTCCCATTTGAATGTATGTGAACCCATATTTTGTATAGTATGACATGCATGTCGAATTGAAGCTCTTTTCATGCTCTACGTCAATTTGTACTTTATTTTCGTATTGCAATTGAAAGGAACTATAAAATCAATATCCAAGGGAAATAAATTTGAAAAATTAGCCCTTTGGAGCCATCTACAGGGACATGTTCATGTACATGTACATGTATGATGATTAATTTGCAATCATGTAAAACTACATTGTACAGTTGGTGTGCTGATCACTCCAACTATTTTGAAGCAAAAGAAAAAGCACCCCCCTCCCCCTGCCTGTATCTTCTTGTATGTGTGCCTTTATCCATCGCCACGGGTTCTGGTGCTTCTGCATGACAGGTACTTGAAATAACTGTCAAAAGCCCAGAAAGTCGTTATTCAAGCAGTGAATATGACCTCGGGGCACTAAAATCATGTCGCTATTCACGAATTGTCGTTATATCCGAAGTTAAATGTATATAGTCAGATGGGACTTTGCTCTGGGCATGGAAATTCTGTCGTTATTCGCGAATTGTCGTTATATCCGAAGTCGTTATTAGCCAAGTGGACTGTACTCTAATTTCAGAAATTTTAAGTGCTCAATATTTTCGGTGTGAGGGCAAAAGGCCAGGTTAGGTGAACAGAAATTGTTCGGTATAGAGAAGCAGTTCCCTATTGGACTACATCATTGTATGTGGTTTAGTGTTTGTTCGGTGTATTGAAAATTTAGGTATGAAACAGACGCACCGAAAGTACCCACAATAAAGGTAGAGTAAAACCTGTAACTAAAGACCACCGTAACCATGGTGACCAGCCTGGTACTACCGACCACTTCGCCAGGCACGGACGGTCTCACATTCAAAATGCACTGTGACTAGCGACTACCTGCTGAGCGCGACCAGCGACCGCCTTTTCTTGTCCGAAGACGATTTTTGACCCGTAACTAGCGACCACGATGTAGGAAATCGAAGGTTGCTCGAAGCTCCTTCTTGAAATTTTGATGATTTTCCATGGCCCTGAAAGGAATCTTTCAATACTACAACTGAACAAATGAACACAGTTCATTTTGACTGTAGAGTCGGTGTGGACCCAGCACTACACCTGTCAAAATTTCAAGCGCTGTCAAGAGAAAAACATCGTAGGAAACGTTATGGAGAGCGCATCGGAAGCGCTCTCCGATCGATGTTTCTGCTCGGAGGAGAAACGAAGACTACTGTAAGACATGTATATATAACGAGGAAGCAAATCTAACGTTTTAACGGACGACATTTCTTCGTTATAATAAGATCCGTTGAGGCCGTACTGCTTCATATATGCTGTGTGTGGATATGGCAGAATACTGCAAGATCGTTAACATATCTTCTCGTTAACCTATGAATTTTGGACAATCGTTAAATTTGCGACTCGTTATAATAACATGTCTTACAGTAAGCGGCTCTGTCACCCCAGTCATATACACGAATCGACGATGGCATCAAGGAATCCCAAAACAAAGCAGCACCGCAAGATCCTGATGCTGAAGGATCGCGTTCAAGCAATCGAGAAGTCACAACAAGAACAGTCGGTACGATTGATCGCATGAACAGATTTGAAGCCCAGCACAAAACGAAACTTCCACAGGGAATGTTTGACTCCTGGCTTCAGAAGTAGCAGCTGAATTTGATTAGCTGCATTTTGACATACATATCATGTAACGAGATCCATATATGGTCACGCAGTGCAAACCTCTAACTAAAGACTACCTGCTACTAAAGACCGCTTTTGCTGGCACCAAGGGGTGGTCGGTAGTCACAGGTTTTACTGTACACCGACAATTTGTGAAATTACAGTATCTAGACAATATGATCATGAAATTGGTACCGACCACTTGGCGGAAAAGCGCGAGCTGCGGTGCTGTGAGCAACTAACGTTCATATACAATTATTGCCTGAGTGGCTACCACTATCTCCGACGACAATCATGTCTGTAGAAATGCTTCCATTGAAATACAGAGTTGCAATGGAAATCAACAAATTTTGGCCAGTGGGAGACTTTGGCCTTCTCGAAATGAAACTGTTGGCTGTCATTTAACTTCGGCCGATTGGCCGATTTCACATGCATCCATGGCTCAATTAAGCATCATTTGCCTCTGTAGCAAACTTTGGCCTGCAATTTACTTTGACCAGTTGGTACCAAGCGGCGAAATCAGCGAAATTAAACCGCCAGCGAAAATTAGTTGATTTACATTACTAGAGACACAGATACTGGCACTGCATGGCCTGTGAACTGGACAGCAATACTAGCACTGCATGGCCTGTGAACTGGACAGCACCGTTTGATCACGAACATTGAACTGACTTGTTTAGAGTGCAGTGAGCATGAAATTATGAAATTACTACCCGGGATACACCACTGACCTCTACCCCGGGATACACCACTGACCTCTACCCCGGGATACACCACTGACCTCTACCCCGGAATACACCACTGACCTCTGCCCGGGATACACCACTGACCTATACCCGGCCCATGTCCCTGACCTCTACCCCAGGATACACCACTGACCCCTGCCCCGGGATCCACCACTGACCTCTACTCCGGGATACACCACTGACCTCTGCCCGGGATACACCACTGACCTCTGCCCCGGCCTATGTCCCTGACCTCTACCCCGGGATACACCACTGACGTCTGTCCCGGGCTATCCCCTGACCTTTACCCCAGGCTATCCCCTGACCTCTACCCGGGATACACCACTGACCTCTACCCCGGGCTATCCTCGGCCTCGGGCTATCCCCTGACCTCTACCCCGGGATACACCACTGACCTCTGCCCCGGGCTATCCCCTGACCTCTACCCCTTGCTATGTCCCTAAGTGTAGTGAGCATGAAATTATGAAATTACTACCCGGGATACACCACTGACCTCTACCCCGGGATACACCACTGACCTCTACTCCGGGATACACCATTGACCTCTGCCCCGGGCTATCCCCTGACCTCTACCCCGGGATACACCACTGACCTCTGCCCCGGGCTATGCCCTGACCTCTACCCCAAGATACACCTCTGACCTCTGCCCCGAGATACACCACTGACCTATGCTCCGGGATATACCACTGACCTATGCCCCGGGCTATCCCCTGACCTCGACCCCGGGATACACCACTGACCTCTGTCCTGGGCTATGTACCTGACCTATGGCCTGGGCTACCCCCTGATCTCTACCCCGGGAGACACCACTGACCTCTGCCCCGGGCTATGCCCCTGACCTCTACCCCGGGATACACCACTGACCTCTGCCCCAGGCTATCCCCTGACCTCTACCCCGGGATACACCACTGACCTCTGCCCCGGGCTATCCTCTGATCTCTGCCCCGGGATACAGCAATGACCTCTGTCCCGGGCTATGCCCCTGACCTCTGCCCCGAGATACACCACTGACCTCTGCCCCTGGATATACCACTGACCTCTGTCCCGGGCTATGTCCCTGACCTCTACCCGGCATACACCACTGACCTCTGCCCCGGGCTATCACCTGACCTATGCCCCGGGCTATCCCCTGACCTCTACCACGGGATACACCACTGACCTCTGCCCCGGGCTATGCCCCTGACCTCTATCCCGGGATACACAACTGACCTCTACCCCGGGATACACCACTGATCTCTACTCCGGATTTTTATTTTGTATTTAGGCCACACCAAGTTATTTCATTGTTTCTCGTCACCTGAAAATCTCAAAAGGAACGCGGGCGGGCGGAAAAAAAACAAAATAGGGTTTGAAAAACAAAAACTGCTATTTACACTACAAAGGCCCAATTTATGACCTAAAATCAGACTATACACCACACGTGACAGTCAATTGCAACATACAGCCAGAAAACCAGGCTCCTGCACCGGCCTCTGGTGAGGAAGTCCAGTGTTGCATGTTATTTAAATAGGAAAGAAAGCAAACCAAAGTTATTATACAAGGGGTACATAAAAGAACAGCCAAGTGCGCGCTTGTGCTAAAATTTAAAACAGAAACCTTATGGGATAAGGCATGGCATGACATGACAAGTCCTAGCACTGCACTCCAGATTTGACGCCGCGCGTACTTTTACAACGCCTTTTTATGCGTGTTTACCGGGACGCGAGATTTTTTTTTTGGTCCAATCCTCAAGAAAGGTACGCGCGCGGTGACGAGAAACAATGAAAAAACTTGGTGTGGCCTTATCTTTTTACTGCAAACACGGCCCTACTCATAATCAGGGGAAGAGGACAACTGAAATGACACTGGACGACAAGACAAAGGGGAGTAGGGGCAATGTGCCGATGTGGTTGGCAAGGCTCATCCGACCGGAGGTGTCGGAATAAATAGCCTACGACCAGGCATCGATAGGAATGCAGCTAGTGAGGGAGGTAGATCAAGTGAGAAAGAGAAAGAGAGAGAGAGAGCTGCGAGAAAGAGAAATAAAATAAAATAAAACAAGAAAGAGATGATGGACGAGGGTAGTTGCTCATTGACGGGTGACATAGCCTCACAGGGAGTCCGTAGCCCAGAGCCAATTATTTTGACGCAAGTGTCGGTGGACCTTCGTCTTGAAGGATTGGAGAGACTTCAACTGGGGCATCGGATCCGGAAACATGTCTTGCGGAAGCCTGTTCCATTCATCCACTACACCATATGGGAACGAAAGCTGGAGAAAGTTGGGGCCGTAGGGAGGAGTACTGTTTGTAGCTGATGCTGATGGCGGACATGGAGCTGCGACCTCTGCCATGGGCCATGGCCCAGACTTCTACCCCGGGATACACCACTGATCTCTGCTCCGGGCTATGCCCCTGACCTCTACCCCGGGATACACCTCTGGCCTCTGCCCCGGGTAGGCATTTCCCAAATCGGTCGGCCGAAAAATTCGCCGAAACTGTGGTTTTAGAAGAAATTACCGATCTTTTCGCCGAATAGGCAAGTTTGGGACGGAATTCGCCGAAAATCGATGTTTTGTGCCTCAACAGCATGCAAATACAATCCCTGTAACCATTATACTGCGAAAGGTGACTGCGACTTTAGGCATTGCCGAAATCGGTCTGCGGGAAAAGACGACGAAATCAATGGCTGTGAAGAAATCGCCAATAATTGAGCCGAATTTGCAAATTTCGCACTGAATTCGCCGAAAATGGATGTTTTAGTGCCTCTAAAGCGTGCACAGGCAGGTATATGTACATTGTATTACAAGCAGTGCTGCTTTGAGCCGAATTCTGACTTTGGGGCTGATATTATGGCCGAATTTGGACATTCTCTTAGCCGATCGAAAAGCCGAATAGGCGAAAAAATCAGGCCGATTTGGGAAATGCCTAGCCCCGGGCTATGGCCCTGACCTCTATCCCGGGGTGCACCACTGACCTCTGCCCCGGGTTATGCCCCTGACTCCTCCCCTGGGCTACACCATGACCACTGATCCGGGCATTGTCAATTACCGCTACCCCGGGATACGCCCTGACCTCTACCTCATTATGTAATGCCTGTGTGCGGGGGGGGGGGGGGGTACGTGTGTGCGTGTGTCTGCATGCGTGTGTGTCTGCATGCATGAATGTGTGTCTATCAGCCCATCAGCTATTCTCCGTTGTGTGTCTGTTGTGTTCTGTGCCTTCCGCAGTCAAAGGCAGTCTAGCAATGCTTTTCTCTCGTACCAGGACGACGCCAGGACACCAAACCTGTCGCGCATCTCCACAATGATCAAGGCCGACAAAAAGAAAGAATGCGGCTCTGGAGCACGGAGACGTGGAGAAGGCTGGCACGGTGCACGGCTTTGCCAATCCTGACTGCATGGCCGAGGAGAGCGCGGGCCCCAAGGTCTCCCATCACCGCCGCGGACCTCGCAAAGGCTATCGCTCGACCCAGGGCGCGTACAGTCGTCTCGGCGCCAGCGACGATGCCGACACTTCGATGACGGAGAGCGGTGCCGACTCCACCAGTACGCCAGAGGACAGCTACGCGAAACCCAGTCAGAAAAACCGGAAAATAGCTCACGAACGTCAGCTCCCCAGTGGAGCGGCGGACCCTACCTCCGCCGCCGCCGGGCAAGATTCCAACGATGCGGCCAGCAATGTGAACAACGACGAGGCCGATGGCGTGTCGGCCCAGTACAGTAGCGTTGATAGCTCGAAGAAGAAAGCACAGAGAGATGAGCGCCAATCCACACCACCAGCTCATGACGTCGCCGCCACCTCCGAAACCATGGCAACCGACAGTCGCGACAACGGGGTTTCTGCCTCTGCTTCGATCTCAAATATAACTGCTGATGATTTGAAGAAAAGCGCATTCGAGGGATGCCAAACTGATTTCGAGCAATCGGCATGGACAGAGAGCATAGAAGACGATGATGCGGCAGCCCCACGGTTCAACGAAGACAAGGAGAGACTGTTCAAGGATCGCTCCGCTGTCAAGCTCGCACACGGCCGCTTCAGTCGCAGAGGAGTGCGACGCTCGGCAGGTCGCAAGCTTCGCGGCGGTGGCGGCGGCTGTGAGGATAGCGTCGACGTACACCACGAAGTAAACGAGGACACTGAAGAGGGGCTGTCCGCCCAGGGCAGTCCTGCACATTCCACTCGCTCCTCTCGTCGCAAACGAGTGCCAAGCAACAGCGCAAACAGCTGCGATAGCCGACGTGCTTCGAATGATGACGGCAGCGCGAACACGACGCTCCGAAAGGTGCAGGGTCGCTACTTGTTCAGCACACCCAGTGGCCATGCTGTGCCGCTCAGCGCGTTCAAAGTCAACGTGGACAACGACGATCTCCTGCACTGCGACGTAGTCGTCAACAGCAACGGGACATTCTTCTTGCAGGACCGTCGCTCCGCGCGCGTCATGGCCACGGTCGACAAGAAGAGAGTTGAGGAGGCGTGCTGGCTGGAGCAGCACCTGCTCCGACGACTGGTGAACGAATCGCCGGCGGTCACGCGCAAGGACCTGACGCGTCCCGTGCTCACACACTCATGTCGTGTATTCACCGAGCCCGGGGGTGGACTGGCCTTTGAGAACATACACGGCGCGGTCGTCTCGCTGAATGTCTTCGGCCAGTTCAGGTTTGACGAGACGCAAGACTACACAGTCGCCCTCGATGCCACCAACTGCTACACGCTGGTGGAAAAGGCAACCCTGACGCCGGTCGCGCAGAGTCACATCTACGAGAACTTGGCCAAGTCCTGCGCGCAGCTGATCGTCAAGCGCCAGCTTCTCCTGCGAGGCTTCAACGGCGAGCTGGGGTTCGCCGACGCCAGCGGCAATCTGGTGCCGTTGTCCATATTTGGCGTGGAGGAATGCAACGACATGGGCGCCCTGTTGTCGGTGGACACCACAGAGCCGGGCCGGCTCGGCCTGTTCGTCAGCATTGCGTCGTCGCCACAGGCAACCGTTGGCACAAACACGGTGACGGAGTATCTGCTGAAGCGCAAGCACATGCTGCGGGACGAAGACCGCGACGATTTTCTGATCGTTACCGATGACGACGACCTGAAGCCGCTGTACAAGTTTGGAGACCTCAATGAGTATGTGTTCGACTCGGTTAACGGAAGCCAGGTTTGCGCCGGAGTGTTTGAGTATGATGTGAAGGACGGTAACTGGGAGTCCCACGTCGTCACGGAAACGTCGTACGGCATGACGGCGCTGCTGTGCAAGCGGACGTCGAGAGTGGTTGCGACCGTGGTGCTGGGCGAGGTCGTGGAGCTGGGCCCGTCCACGGTGGTGCACTTTGACGGCGCGGACATCCTCGAAGCCGGAAGCTCAGCGGCACACGCCAAACCCGACGCTAGCAAGCTTCCCTTCTAATTCTAGTCTGTGTGAAATCGAGAAAACTCAGCTGCCCTGGGCCCGTCCAACAACGTGATGCCCGCTGTTCTCGATGCACACATGGCACTAAGAATGGGAACTTTTATGTACACAATGGCTCATAGCGTCATGTCCTATCTAGATGATCTATGTAGTGGAGTATTTTCACTCCTTTGTATCTGCAATGCTCGATTGGTGCTCCTCTCAGTCTGTGTTTTCCTATAATGGCTGCCGGCTGCTTCATCACCTATCTCTTGAGTGCATTCCATGACTGCTCTTGCTTTATCGATTTCTTTGCAAATTTCTCCAGCAGTGGTTTTATATTCACTGCCTTGTTGCTCTCATCATCTCCTTCTTACAATCACCTCTACCTCTGGGTGCATAGTCTACTCTGAGATTCAACCTCGCGCACTTACAGTATTTTACAGTGAAGCCGGCATTCATGCCCCACATAAGACAGTATAGTCCCCACCAATTGAGGAGTCGCGTTATAGCGTCCTACTCTCTCTTTCATCTGCGTAGCGGGGACTCGATGCACAAGGCTTGTGCTTTTTTGTTTCATCTTCACTTCTGTCTCCGGGATTGCTGGCGGTAAGACGCGGACAGCTACCGGTATTTATTTACTAGTTTTTTTTCGAAAATTCAGAATGCTATCATCTCTACGATCTGTCCTCTTCCGAAGGTTCCTATCGCTGCATAGTGATTCTGCTGTGCCCGCAAGGGTATAGCTAGGATCCGTTTAGCCATGGCCTCGATGCAGTTTAGACGCTTTGTGAGAAAGACAAAGCGTGAAGGGTGGGCAGGGGGGGGGGGGGAGGAACACTATTGATTGAATCTCAGAATAAAACAACCCAATTAAACTAAGCAGTGAACTATAATTATAGGAGCGATGCAACGCATCTTCCAATCAGCAAGCCGTGGCGGGATGAGGTGAAAGCTTGGCACATAGATAAGAAGGTGCTACTGTAGCTGTTAGTGTAGAAGTAAGGTGTTAGATGTGGCACATACTATTACACTAGGGATGCTTTTGTAGTGATAATATAACAGAGCGTGGAGAGGAAAACTGTTACAGGGAGGCTTAGAATGCTAATAGTAATACCAGTAATAATTTTTATTGATATTGAGGTTGAATCTTGCCGGACCAACCAGAATGAGGCCGCTACCAGGCTACAGGTGTGCTAGTAGTGCAGGGCCACCATGTGCTAGTGGTTATGAGTAACATTGCAACAGTGCAATATTCCCAAGCTGAGGCAGCTTCGAATTGGCTGAAACAAGAGTACATGACCCCCTGTACTCTTGGCTGAAAATTACCCCAGTTCGTACCGCACCATGGGATAAATACCCCAGCTACAAGTGAAAAGTTGAGCCTCATTGGATGAGTGAGTTTCTCCTCAATGATCCACGGTAGCCTTCGTTTCATCCACGGAGTCGTAAGATTTCACGACTCCCCGAGTCCCTGGTTTCAGCATAGACGGCAGGTCAGCACAGGGAGGGAGGGGGGAGCGGAGGCCATGTGCAACTACTGACTGTCGCACTGATGCCTGCCATGAGATGCTACAACTCCGATCCCCGAGCCGAGGACCGTCACGACCCTGCACTGCTGCAGCTAGCTGGCCACCATGTACCAGGACCTGGTCGATGACCACCGACGCGGACATGACAGTCATAACGTTCAAGATCACGGTGACCACCTACCGTATTTCCCCGCAAGTAAGTTCTCCCCAATGACTTAGTACCCCCCTATAAAAATACACTTTCCACTGCCGAGGTTATCACCCCGAAAGACAGTTCCCCCCGAAAGATAGTAAGTTCGTACCCGTCCTACATGTACAGACACCGTACAGTACATACATCATATGCACGGACACTAGAGTTTCGCAGGCTTCCCACTGCGTGTCATTTACCCCCGATAAAAAGTACTCCCCGAAAGATAGTACCACCCCCGAAAGTTAGTACTCATGTGGCTGCTAAGTTCGAAAGTTAGTACGTACTAACTTACGGGGAAATAAGGTATTACCTTGGCCTAGTATAGTGCATATCGCCATGGAGGGTTTAGTTTTCGGTTTTGGTGTGCGACAGGAGCGTAGCTTGTAGATTACCATGATCGGCCTCTTGCTCCAGCCTGAGTCAGGTAGCCCTTTCCCAAAGATGCTCGCCACTTTTTTTCGCAACTTTTCGTTGTTCTTATAGGAAGAAATTGCAACTTTCGCAACTTCCTTCTTTTTTTCTTTTTTTTAATTTTTAATAGGGCATTCCCACAGGCCTAACTAAGGCCTTCTTACGGGGTACCCTATATGTGTTTGTATAGATGACTGTAATAATAATATTAATAATAATGGCATGTGGTCAAAAGGTCAAGTCACGGATAGGGTCCAGCGGATAATGCCGGCATTATATTCGGCATTATACGACTATCCGAGCATCAGAGCATTCTGGAGCATTAGAAAGGAATAAAACGAGCATGATGTGCGGTTGGAGCGGCATAACGAGTTTCATAGTGGATAATATCGGGAGATCCCAGGTTTTTGGCAACAATCGGCGACAATCATGATCATGAGATGTTGCCTGATGATTGGTTTTTGCCGTGAAACTCTGAGTACCAACGAAACAGCCCTATTTTACTCCCTTTGTGTACCTCTTGCGTACTACGCTCCGCCCATTCCGGGCATTTGAGCACTATGCGTGGTACCGGCGCTTGACTTTGTGATTGTGTAGACACGCAACACCTTTAGCACTAACGCTACATAACTATTGCTACATAAAAACGTTATGATTGTAGCGATGTGGTCAGGTAAATGACAAGCCATTTGTGAAGCATGCCCAACCGAGGCCGAGGCAGTTCAAGTGACACAAATCTGGAGAAATTATTTACGAGGTTTCTTTTACTTTTAGAATAATGGAGAGCTATGGAGGAGACATACGCGGAGTGAATATCAAACAGACGAAGAAGAGTTTTCTAGTTGGGCCAGAGGCTCTGGCGATAGCATCTCTAGCGATACTGAAGTAGACACTGATGCATTGCTAAACTTGGACCAGGATGAAGGAGCGGCTATGAACAGAAATAGCTCGTTCCAAAAGAACTGCCTTTGCCGAGTCCAGCTCAGGAGGCTCGAAAAGAACTAGAATTTCTCATGGTTTCAGTACCAAGTCGATTGCTCAGCAGCACCTGTCTTACTTTCCTGATGAAGCACGTACAGTTACATGTAGTTGTGGACGGTTGTAATGCCAGGCCTACAGTGAAATGCTATCAGAAAGGAAGAGTAATGTGGCAAGCCATACGTCTACACACCATCTCAAGGAGAAGATGAGAGCACAAGCAAAGGATGTAGAGTGACAAAATGACTTCTGACCACGTGTTTTCAGGATTTCCGCAAATGGGAGGGCTCTCCATCTGAGATCGGATCTCAGGAGCTGGCCTCAAGTCTGGTGTTTCAGATGAAGACATTATTCACAGAGTGGACGCAGTGACAACTTGTCTGCAGGCAGGAATACTATTTGCCAAGATTAACTTCATCCCAACAATGATCAACTACCTGCAATAATGGTTTCATCTCGCCAAGAGTACATAACCCCGCAGAGTGTGCAACGCCTGATCCAGCTCTGCATAGGGTCTTGGTCGAGCGGAATCGGATCTTTGCGTCATAATACCTGACACATCTGAGGGGAACCCGGGGAGTCGCGGGTACTCTTGGATCAAAAACAATGGTGCCCTGCCTCAAGACCGGCCTTGCGCTGGTGTGAAGTGTACGCATGACATCAGAAGATCCGATTCCGCTCGACCAAGACCGTACACAGAGCTGGATCGGCGTTGCACACTCTGGGGGGTTATGTACTCTTGATCTCGCACTACATGGATAATTAGGGGAAAGATTTGATGATCGACTATTCTGCCACAACCCTGCATCAAAGTTGGAATGGAGAGCAATCAATGGAGAAGCGATCATCTCTTATAGTGCTAAGAAGTAGTGGAGCTCGTGAGAGATAGGGTGGCAGCTTCAGATGCAGATCGACGATATGCATAATTTCCTGGAAGTTTGACAATGTGCAGACTTTCCTCCATTTTTGTCCCAAGCCAAGAGCATTATATCCCTTTCTGAAGCATTATAATCAGCATTATAAGGCAGTTTTTGGAGCATTATGGTTAGCATTATATGAACATTTTCGGAGCATTATCCGCTGGACCCTAGTCACGGACTGCATGTCGAAACAAATGCATGCTCGCTCATTTCTCGCAGACTCATTTCAGAGAAACAGTAGATCAACGGTAGGTAGGATAATGTGCATTCCCTTTGCCTTGCACTGAAACCGTGATGTAGGATACATGCAACAGGATACTGGCATTGTGGAAAGTAGGAAGGGATGTACAAGTTTGACTTCTGCTATTTCTGCTCCCTTTTTGGTGGTTTTTGCACAAGAACTTTCCAATTTTAAGTTGCGATATTAGCAACTTTTGAGCTTTTTCTGAAAATATGGTTGCGATTTCAGCAACTAGCACCTGTTTTGGCACAGTTGCGAAAAGCAAAAGTTGCGAAAAATTATGGCATCTTCGGGAAAGGGCTAGAGTCAGGTAGCAAACTATTTTGATAAGCCGCGTGATGTTCTTGCCTCTTCTCTACGCTTAGCGGCTACCGACTCAGTCACAGTGCAGACACAGTGTAACCATGGTCACTGCGGGAAGTTGTCATTACGGGTCAGTAGTGGGTCTACTCACTAATATAGACTGAAGTGTAAAGCATGCAGAGAGTCGAAAATATCCAATTCTCTCAGACTGATGAGTCTGGTGTAAAGACTACAATAATAATGACTGTCATCTATCATCAATTCATGCATGGTGGGATGTCAGACCAGCGACAATTTTCTGGTTCTCACTGTTCTGTGGTCAGATCAGCAGCAAACGGACTTCTCTACCATGGACTCACACCCACAGTCACTCGCAGTCACTCGCAGTCACTCGCAGTCACTCGCAGTCAGGACCATGGCAGTGAGATAAGGATAACATTGTTGTATTCGTTCAGTGCTGGGGTAGGTATGCGTTTTTCGAGCTCCATACCTCAAGCGTGTTGTCCTGGTTCTTGAAGAGGAGTTTGCTCCGCTTCGAGACGTCATCCTGGAGCAATTTGTCCCAGCCATCCTTGGGCGGGAGGTTCTTCCTCGGGAACACCAGCTCCTCACTCTGCCAGTCAAGTATGGTGGCTTGGCTTTGGCCGATCCTGTCCACACAGCACCCCAGGCTTACCAGAATTCGAGAAACGCAACTGACATCCTGCGCAACTTCATCCAATCTGGTAACCCCGTAAACATGAATGATCACAGCGCTCACTGTCGCCGCATCACAAGCCAAATCAGCAGGGAACGAGATGTGATTTCCGCTGAAATCAGCCAAACAATTCTCAGTGACCTGCCACAGCTTGAGGAGCGCACCCTCTCCCGCATCGTAGATCTACGGGGAAATGCCTCCGGATGGCTTACGGTGTTGCCCCTGAAGCGCGAGGGGTATGATCTGTCGAGTACAGAATTCCGCGATCAACTTGCCATCCGCTATGGTCGGCAGCCGCTTGCCCTGCCAGCGCAATGTGATGGTTGCGGGAAGCCCTTCTCTCTTC